AATACTCTATGCTTAAAAAAAACTGAATGTAATTTTTTTAAGCCACGTGCCTAATGTCGCTCCAGAACTTGAAGTTCTTTCTGGAACTCCACTTCATAAAGTAGAGTACAAGACACAAATGTCTATCTTTATGGAGCAGTAGGTCAGTTAAAGCGCTTTTCAACGCGCTCCTCCCAATGTTAAAAGGAGTACGCAAAAATTAGTGATCGATGTACCACCTACTTCACAGACCGCTTCACTGAAATCTGGCTATTTTCTACCAGTGACTCCGATGAGCTAGGGTGGCTTCCGAAGATTACCAGACTTACCTGCTGCTTCTACCTCACTTTTGTATTCTGACCACCAAGACTCATGGTCCTTGCGTAACAGTTGCATGGTTCATCTCTTAAGGAATCTGTGCATACTATTATGCTTATTCTTTGTCAGGACAAATTAACTAGGGTTAAGGAATTTTCAGAGATCCGGTATTTATTAATGAGATGTTCTTTGAAGTGGTGATCAGCATTGCTCGGCATTTTAAGGATGTCTTGTACTTTAAACCAATACTCATCTATACTTTCTGTGGGTTCGATAAGTAGTCTTGAATTTAGTTTAGTTTCATATTTAGTTACAATTTTGGGATTAACCAATTTGCTTATGTCAACGTATTTAGGACAGAGATTTCAATGACAACTAATTTGGGTGAAGTGCAAGGTGAGTTCTACTATAAACGCTATATTTTCCTACTGAAAATCAAACGTTTGGATGCAGTTATCTTAATGGCGAGTTCAACGCATAAATGGGAAGACTAAATGAGGTGGAAACGCACTTATGAATATTGGCGATAGCCTACTATAAATGTGCTCAGACAATCATCCATTTATAATCAGCATGAACTTCAGACATAAATAGACGTTGTCTGACGTCGAAACTAACCGGTGCACACAAACCATATCACTATCAAATATCACGCGAAGATTACCACCCTTCCTGAAGAGCGTGTCTAGACACCGATCACACGTATTTATGTGCGTAAGTGGATGTAAAAAATTTGAGGCTGCCATTCCTGTCAGAGCACAGGTTGACGATGAGTATACTAAGGCTGCTTTCATCGAGATGGCTGGACGGAGAGTTATCGGAATGGAACAGTGTCATTCATCTTGGAGAAGCCTGGCATCATCTCCCGTCTTCTGTAAAGACAGAATTAGAGACTGTAGCAGATCTTCAGTAGATTCTGAATAAGTGGAAACCCATAAACACATTCCTGCAGGCTCAGAGGATTTCGAATTCAGACTGACAAATAGTCTAGGAAACGAACGTGAGTAGTCGTAATCCACCAAGGCTAAAAAGGTGAAAAAAGGCACCAGTGATAGGTAAGAAGAGATAGTTGCTTAAACTTATCAAGAGAGTAAAATGTAGAAAGATGAATCTAAGAATAACTTGCGGAGGAGATGACTAGAACGTTGGATGCAATATTTCAACCAGCTTCCAGATACTTTTTGGTTGTCCGCACCCTAGTGTGATGCTGAGTGAAACACTGCGATAGGACTTTTAATGCTTACAGAAGTTGAGAAAGATGTACGTAAAATGAAATGAGGAAACGCAGCAGGGGTATTGAGGGATGGGAAGGTGTTATCTTGACATGGATTTCAGACTTGCTTCTTGTGATAACTCAATGAGTTATAGTGGTTGTAATAATTATTTCTTGAAGTCATATCATACCAGAAATGGTTTGTTGGGTATTAGCTAGAGAAGAGAAGCTGGCGTCTCAGCGTAAATAGCTTATGCTTCGGTGGAGGTATGAGGGTAAAATCACATTTCTGTCTAGACAGGAGTCTGACAGCAGTAAGGTTTTCCTCATATATAACCAGTAGTGAATACTAATACTCACTTACCTATCGAAATCAAGGATTAGGAAAGATCGGCTACGAAAATAGAATACTACTCCCTTCATTGTGGAGATTCTATAACCAGCAGTATAGGTTTCGTTTTCCGTTGCTAGCACTTTGAGGTCTCTTTTCAGGAATCGTGAAAAGACCCACGTGTTAACGACTTAAAAAAGTGTCCCTTGGTCTCTTCTGTCATGCAAAAGTAATCCATTTTCCTTCTCTTGTGGCTTACGGAAAAAATCTCCCCTATGTGAGCAGCTATGATGCACCAACGGTTCACAAGCTTCCAGCAGCAACACAAAACTCAACTTATTGTAACTTCGTTCTTTATGCTGGTCGCCTCCTTCGCCTTCACCTACTTATGTCGAAAATAAGCCCTTCATAGTTTCCTCAACTTCTCTCTCTGCAACCAGTGCTAAAAACCCTTTCCTACTCTATTAAACTCCTCGACGCAAGTCTGACCTTGCAGCTTTCGATGTCCGAAGCTGATACTAAATTGGACAATATGCCTTAATTGGCTTCATGATTACACTACCCACCTCAGAGAAGACAATATAACCAAGATCATCCACCTGAACTACAAACATTCTCCACTATTTCACTTGACAAAAGCCTGGAATCTTGAGCAACGGTTGCATCCAATGTTTCTGAGACCCTTGTACAGAATGGAAGTGTGGTTATTCACTTGAACTCACTATAACAATGTGGTAAGTATGAAAACTTCACCTAGGGAATGTTAGGAGGCTCATTAAAGCTATTGCGAAACCAAGATATACTGCGAATTACCCAGGATCAACATTCCCAATATTAACGATGAGTATTGTAGCAGAAATATTTGTTTTCTAATGTTTAGAGTTGTAAAAAAAGCATTGTTCTACACTGCTTTCACTTGGTTTTTATTTGTAGCAGCTCGGAGGATATTTCTGCTGCTTTATCTGGTTTCAGAATTCCGTAAAAATAAATCTGACTGATACTTTTAATCAATCTAGTTTAGGAAATGCAAATGAGAAAGTGATCACGAGTTAAGGTGTACAAGAAATTTCAAGATGACCTTTGTAGATTACTTGTGAAATTAGGTATGCAATAGAAATCTGCATATTTTGTATGTCACTAACACTATTTGAGTGTAATTCACACATGGTGATGTAAATATGACCATGAAAACAGTAAACAATAACACTCTACGATAAAACTACTCACATACTCAGTAGTCTACGTTGACGACATAAACTTAAGTTTTTTTGGATAGTGAACTACTACACTTATGATCGATCTGGTTTCATCTGGACTACAGAAGGAAGAATTGTTTCATATTCGAAAAGATGTAGATAGTCGACCAAGAAAACTTATCACTGGATGTGTTTGCTAGCTGGACAGCTAGAAAATGTTTAAACAAGTGACGGGATGTCTAGAAAAATGTACCGAAAAAAGATAGATAGGTCAACGTCAAATATCTCCTATACTGCAAAATGTGTGTGCTTAGATCATGGAAACAATATACTTTAAAACAACTGAACGCTCAGTTGGATACCTATATTAAATACAATAGTCATCTCAATGTATGCAGTAGAGAATGTAGTTTACCTACATTACTGCTTATGAGAAAGCTAGAAACACCTCAATGAAAGCAATGACTCAATCAATATCATCATAGGAGGCATTACTGCATAACGGTCCAATTTGTCACACTTCATATCAGCACAAGTAACAAAGCAGTAAGCTGAGAGATGAAGGAAGAAAAAAAACTGATCAAAGCAGTAAAAAGCACAAGATTCCGTACCAATACGAGAGTACGACCTTAGTTGTGCAACATACCAACTAATGTTTTACAGTTGGGACGCCTACAATTATCAAATGACGTAATTGTTTGCCTGTAACACGAGTATGATAATGAATGATGGATGAAGTCTTATATTAGACGTGTATGAGGCACATATCACAAGGTTTCACGCCATGAAGGTGATGAGTTTTGAATTGATGGAATCAGTTATAGCGATTACGATAATAAGATTGGAAACGCAAATGTTTTATCCACTAGTAATCAACAAACCAACTTATGTGGAAAAAAATCGGTAGTGGATTTGTCTAACTATACACATTCAGAATTTCACAACAGTGTCAAGTGTGTTTAGTGAGAAACAATCCACCTAAGAAGTGTATGGGAATGAGACAATAGCCAGCAATGACATGCGCACATAAAATGAATGATATGCAGTTGGTAGCCAGAACAATGACCACACACATTTGGAGTAAAGGAAAACATATATGGATTAAAGTGGTTTATCTTTAAAAAAAAAAGCACAAGTCTAGTTGGAAAAGCGTCACATTAATTATAAATTGATGTGGTTTGACTGTGTAGAAGCATAAATGACATTGGTTTGAAAATACTCAGTAGTTCGACAGTTGGAGGCATTTAGGGTATAAATAAAATGAATGAAAAGAGCATAGTTCTGGAGAAATAACGAGCGTCAAACGAAATAAGTATATAAATAAGAAAGTACAACATGGGAAAATACACCCGGGCACACACACACAACCAGCTTATTTCATTAACCAAATTGTTATGTAACTGTAATGTGTACTGGCAGTTTGGAATAATATCTACCGCGAACACCAAAGTGATTTACAAAGGAGTAATGAAAAACCGCTTTTTAAAAAACCAATTAGAATTCTGAAAAACAACAATGCTAAAAGAGTGGATTTAAAAAAATCAGGAAAAACAATAACAAAAAACCGGAAGTTTGCAGACACTAAGGTGCAAAAATTAGTTAGCGCCTTAGTGGAACGGAATGAAAAGTTCTTTCTCAAAACAACAGTAATGATGATTATCAAAACAGCAGCGTTTTTTTTTGCATGAATCAACATACATTTATAATAAATTTTCATACATATGTATATATATCTTCTGATGTCTAGGACAGAATGATGAATAGTGAGTGATCTTAGTGACGAATTTGTGATACACTGATAGTAGTATAGTGAAACGTTATAGCTGACATAGATTTGACTGTCATTTTCAAAATTTAACTGTTTTTCCATAGTTATGCGGTATCCACTGTGGGTTAAAGATGATTTAAGAAAAGACCTTAAGTTCATTTCACTGAAGTATGAGAGCTTAAACAATCTCAATACTCAGTTCTCATCAGCCGATGGAGGAATATGATTGTTACTATTAATATTGACAGTGCTTGACCCCCCTCCACTAGCACTATTACCAAAATCACTAGTTACAGAATCCAATTCATTGATTGAATGATTTTCATCTAGCGTTCCATCATCGCCAGTACGTGTTGAGAGTACTGACGATAACTGACGATTTGGACGAGTAGTACTTCTAGATGGAAAAAGAAAGAACATGAAAACGATTAACTGTTATCTTTATTTCTTGACAATTCTACTGCACAACGACAACGCTGGATACAACTTTAATTGGAAAAAAAGAAATTTACACATCTTATAGTGCTGATGGAAAACGAAAACGACGACATTTCGTACTGCACACATAAAAAATTTAATTATCGCATGCAATTAATTTAAGCAAAAAAAGATGTTAATTACCAAAACCGAACACACATACAACAGCAACAACAATATAAATGCGGGAGCAAGAAATACTTTACACTCTGATAAGTGTATCCGATGGTAAATGATATTGATAACTTTATCGCCTTATGTAATAAAAGGAATGAATTTGAAAACCAAATACATGTGATCCATCCACGGCGGACACCTACAACCCTTTCCTTCATTCCTTTCTATTTTCTTGGTAAAAAGGTAGTGGCGAAAAATGTAAGTCTTTTTCACGATTGCAAAAAGAAACCAATCTTCAACATAATAGTAGTGCATATAAACCGCGATAAATAAAAAAGTGAAAACTGGACTGAAAAAAATTTAAATAGTGGGAGAGTGTCCAGATAGTTGGCATACAATAGCAGATTCCTTTGAAAATAAAACAACAGTATGAGTTACAGTCTATATCTTTTGTTCGCAAACAACTACAGTAAGATGGAATTGATATTTGGTGTTTCATTGTATTCATATCCAAAGCAGTGCGTGCCACCCTTGTGCAGTCGCATATAGTTTGTAATTTATACATAATTTCTTTATTCATACGATGTAAAACAAGTTTTTCCCTCTAAAAGTAAACTTCATTTGTCCATTCGAATAGTTGGGACGATAATCTACACACACACACACACACACACACACACACACACACACACACACACACACACACACACACACACACACACACACACACACACACACACACACACACACGTTCTTATGGAAGTTAGGAAGAGATTAATAGTAAAAAGAGTCCTACGGGATAAACAAAACAGTGTTTATATTTTGTCTTGAAGAGTTTATTTATGAGAAGCATAACTCAAAAAGAATGATTGAAAGCGTAGAATTAGTAGTAATAATATGGAAAATAGGCAGCACCGGTGATAAGTGTGTTTTTTTACTTAAAAAAATGCATACGAAGAAGGCTGAAAGAGTTCAGATATTTATTCATCGTCAGAAACATGAGAACCGTTGGGAGATGACACAGTGGTATCGGATATAGGGAACTCATAATCGCGAGATGGCCTGTTCCAAAGCAATAGTAATAATAATATTTTTTTTAAATAACGACATTAACAGTAACAACAGCAACAACAATAATAAGTAATGATGATGAATTACAACAACAGTACATATGATTGTGATGCGAGCAAACAAAAGCACAGAAATAATTTGGGCAAACACACGCGATAACATTCAAGAGGGCACCACCACCACCAAAAAGAAACAGCAGTACATTAGGGACAAAATAAAAATAGAATGAGGTTAGCTGAATAGAAAATATGAATGAGTAACGCAAAGAAACATTTTAACTCTTATCATTCTGAATAGTTTATGACGTCTTGTTGACGACAAACTAGAAATGTTATAAAAAAATTTATAAAAAGTGGGACCGTCGTATTAAATCAAGCACATTATGATGATGAATGCCTGCAAAAATTCACCTTAAAGATACTCTTTATGACCACAACGCTGAGAGATGCTTGTGTTGAATTCGAAGTTCATCCTACTATGAAGTTTCAAATATCTAGGTATTTATATAAATAATACAAAATCTAGGACAAATAAGAAACATCTTAGTGAATGGTTTCGAGCAACTAACACCTAAGACGGCAAATCGTAATATCGTTACACTACATTTTCTAATCCAGAGGATGTGAACAGGTCTGAAAGAATTTTCAGCCAATACCTAGCATTCCAGTGAGCGTGAAGCTTGTAATGACTTTACTTGGATGTCTATCATTGTGAAAGTAAATTCCTTGGGACAAATTAATGCACATTAGTGTTGGAGTTGGAGGTGACAGATGGAGATTATGCATACTTAAGAATCAGCAATACATAGACTTCATCCACTGAAACTATAAAAAAGATCTACAGCTCAGCATGATGAGTCATTAGACTATTATTTCATTACAATAGATGTTGACAGGCAATAAGTGTTCTCATCGCATACTTATAAATGATCGGAAATTTGAACCTAATTAACATTAAATTTTGCTATAATTTTGCGATAATTACACAACTCAAAAAGTATAAACTTGAACATCAAATGAGAAACGCACCGGCTAAGTTTACGAAGGTTTTGTAAATCTCGTTCAACGATCCGTTTCGCTTCCATCACTTCTTCAAGATCTCGTTGTAGTCGACGGCATCTTGCATTAATTCTTGCATTCTCTTCTTCTAGGGCTTCTACTTCTCGTTTGCTTCGTTTACATGCTGTCTGAGCTTTTTCGAAAGATTCTTTTAGTCCTTCGACGCAGCGCTTCAAATCTTCGTTCTAAATTTTTAGAAACGCACATTCAGTAAGAAAAATATGACATGGAAACAACGATTTTAGAATGAATGGTCACGTGTTAGTTTAATCTCATGACATAACCAGTCTACACAACATACTTATCACTATGTGAAAACTGAACATTTGACAGTCTAAATGGATGAAACGTTTGGAAAACGTTGAAGAGATGGCATATTGTTTCAGATAATTCGAAGAAGCATGTGGAAGTTTTTTTCGGAACAATTGATCGAAGTGATAGTACTTACTTCTGGTCGGAATAGTAACGAGGTGATCGTTTATACCGAAATATGCAAAGTAGTTTAACCTGGTGCAAGTGTTTATGCACTAGACTGTGAACCATATTAATTAGTAAAGTTGAAACAAGTGAATTGGCTGGAAGTGAAGTGTTTCAGTCATACCACAGTCGAAATATAGGTCATGGGATACAAGAGCATATAGGGAATCAAACACTAACCTGAAGGAGAAGATCCTTGTACTTTTTCTCGGATCGACGGAAATTTTTGTTTGCGTTCAACTTTTCTAGTTTTTCTGCTTCTAGTTGCTCATCTAAAGTTGCAAGACGAGCTTCTAAGGTTGATATCTGAGCTTTTCCACGACGTCCTCCTTCTTTCTCCGCTTCAACTAACCTGTCACGTAATTCCTTTACCTACACAAAATGTACAAACCAGAAAATGGAATAGATTCCATGAGACAAAAAACAGTTCCGTTTAACAGTGTGGTATCAAACAAAAACCACAGGATTTCAACGAGCGTACCTGTTTTTCCAGTGATATTCTTTGAGACTCAGAACGTAAGTAGTTGTTTTTTTCAATGCTTAGGTCTGTTTGAGCTTGTTCCATTTGAGTGAACGCTCGCCTATGGCGCTCTTCACTGGCATCCATAGCACTTTGTATTTCTTCTAGTTGATCCTCCAAAGCAGTAATACGAGCTTCCAGGCGCTTTTTTTCATCCAACGCCGCCGTTCTGAATAAATTAACAGGCAAACATTGTGCATCTGGTATTAAAAGCAACAATCTGAATGAAAAATATTCTTTTCAATAAATTCTCATTGAGTTCGACAACCATAAAAAGCATTTGTACAGTATAACAGAAAGCAAATACATTGTTAGAATGGAGTGCAAACTAGGGATTGCGAGGAAATCAATTTTTCAGATTTGTCAATATTAGGGTGCCATATATACAAATGAATACCGTGATGGTGAACAAAAAGACAATGAGCAACGAAGACAGGAGTGGTTTTCGGTTTACTGAGGGCCAAGGGAGAAATACCGTTTGGACATGACCTTTCCAAATGTGCAGTTCAGGTTTGACCAACCTTATTGTGAATGCCTCAGTTATACTGAGGTGTAGGCGAGCTACACGTTGTTTTTAAAATACGACGTATAACAGTGAAAGCTTAATTGGGATCGATGTGATGCCCTGTGTCTACTAGGCGCACTAGGATGGAACTTTTCACCACTTAAACTTCGCGTTTTCGGAACCAAGGCAGTAAATGTTCTAGACACGCATCTGCTTAGTTGCACGCCCTATGTAACTTGTTCCACAAGAACAGTTAAACTGATATACGCAAGATGAAGAGCCAAGATTAGGTAGGCTATCCCTTTAGTCTAAGATTGAGCATTGGTTGACTGCTGAAAGATATCCAAAGACGACCTAGGTAAAAGCGTTCTATTGGCTGCTCTAGCTAGGCGTTGTGATAGTATATCATTTAAAGCGTCTACCTTGAACTGAGTCGCAAAAACAAAGGCTTCTTTCCACTGTCATCAATTCTCGTTTAGGATTACTGTGATTGCTGTTAGCTTTGTTAAACTTTACAGGACTTCAGTTTTACCTAAGAATATCATGGATACACAGTAGTTCTTCTTCTACACACTACTTGGAATAAATGGATCTTCTAAATTCTATGCAACTGATTATATTACGTTTGTACTTCATCCTCACTAAACTAAGAAAGTGTGTAAACTGTGCTTTAGATGTCGGTTTTCTACATAAACTTCTCAGTATAATCACTTTTTCTTGTCATTAACATATCGAGAAAATGTATCTAATCACTGATTTAATTTTCACAAATAAAACGAACTGGTGGATGAGTGCTGTTGAAGTGGTCCATAATAAAATGCTTAGGTGCTTATCACAAATACTAAAAAAGTATCATCCATATATCAACAGTACAACTTCATACTAATAATTTGATCTTTCGAAATATCTCAGAAATATGTTTGCAAATGTAGTATGAAATAATACAAGCAATCTAATTTCAAGAAAATTCAACTTACTTGGCGGAATTTGCAGCAACTAACTCTTCCAAAGCTTCATTGAGATCAATCTTCAAAGTACGACAAGTTCTTTCACTTACAGTCAAGTCTTCTTGTAATCGAATTTTGTCTGAATCCAAGGCACGATACTTTTTGTCTAACTCTCGTGAAGCTTCTAAAGCCTGTTCGCGAGCACGAACGGCATCTTCCAGTTCACGCTGAATACCACCACTAACACCCTGGTACTTTTTCAACTGTTTAACGGCTTCTTCTTTCTGTCGATTCGACAATTCAAGACGTTGACTGAGATCTGCCAAGTCTGCCTCCAATTTTTTGCGGACGTTTAGATGACTGGCACGTTCTCTTTGTTCTTCTTCTAGTTCAGTTTCCAGTTCTCTGATACGTTTAAGAGACTGACGTCTTTGCTCTTCCAGCAAGTCGTCACGAGAAGCTAGCTCCCGTTCTAACTGGGTTCGGACGGCATTCATTTGAACCTGTTTAGTAGGTGGAAAGCAGCATTAATGTTTGGCAGATATATATATATATATATATATATATATATATATATATATATATATATATATATATATATATATATATTATGAGGAAAAAGTCTACGAACTATAAAGCCTACCTCGGCACGTTGTTTCTCCATTGTGAATGTAGAGATTTCATCCTCTAATTCTTCGATTTGTTGTTGGGTTTCCTTCAGCCGTTCATTCAAACGATAGTTAGTTTGTTCTAATCCCACTAAACTCTTTCCCGCATCATCTCCATGAGAACCAAGTTCTTCCAATTCCCGAGCAAGCATTGAACGCTGGCGCTCTGCTTCTTCTAACTGCTCCTTCAGTTTTTCGATTTCATTCTTTTGAGTGAAAAGCTTAGTATCTTTTTCAAGCATCTCTTGATAGAATGCCTCTTTTTGAGCTTGGAAACTATTAAGTTGGTTGACAGTTTCTGCATGAGTTGACTCTAGCTTCTTAATTCGCCGTTCATTATTAGCTTGGTCAGATCGCTGGCTAGCCATGACATGATTCATATCTTCGAGCTGAAAACAAAGTATAAATTTTAGAGCAGCGAGAAATGGAAATCCACTCATTAACTTTGTGCATTTTTTTAACGGTAAGCAATGAGTTACACATATTGCGTGAGGTCTAGTGATACTAACTGGTTGTCCGAACCTTGGTAGATGGAGCTGGGTCCGAACCCGTGACCCATCAGATGGAAATCAAGGGTCTAGACCAATGAGCCACAGATCTAGAAAAAATGAGATTCCATTTTAAGAAATAGCGGTTTGAAGTATGAAATATTATAGTGAAGGGAAATTTATGTGGTCAAATCCCATTTTCCATGATTTAAAAAAACACCCGTAAAAATCGCTTTTTCATTGAACTCCGATTCATTATCACTATGAACATGGGCCCAAGCGCTGCTGCGGGAAGGTCCAAGTTGTCATACCGTATATCAGCCTATCAGGTAACACAGCATTAAGATGAAAGATGAAGAAAGAAATAAAAATCGGTTAAAAGCAGTAACAGAGAAGAACGAATGAGATGTTGAATTCAGTATAGCGATTAAGATGAAGTGTGGATGCATCTGTGGCATTGACATCGATTCTGAACCATATAGCCTAGTCTCCAACCACTAGTTTGTGTTGTCACCTGGATACCAACCAGCTAGTCTGCATCTCTCTCTATATGACTCAAACCAGCAGTCAGAGACTTCATGCACTGATGTCATTTTTAAGTGTGAACATCTCTAACTATTTATCACACTCGACTTACTTCATCTAACATTCTGCGCAACAAGGTAGATGGTGATGAGGCATGCGTACCACAGGCGCCAGCAATCTCAGTCAATGAAAGTTTACAGCCGCATTAACTCGCTCTCCTCGCCTCTACACCAAACTTCCGCGCTACTGACGTGGTGACACCACGACACATGGCCTGTGGTAGTAAGGCAAAAGGGGTCGAACACCTGAAGTATTCCCATGTCCTCTACCATTAAAAGGCACATTGTATCGCCTGCATATAGCAAAATAGAGGGAACTCCAGTACACTCAGTCCTTAATTAACAATCAGATTTCAAGATGGTGGCGTGAACAGTGAAAGTTGGCGAAAATCAATCGAGCCTTTTTATCCCTACAGTCACTGATCCCCCAGGACTGATCCGTTTGCCCAGATAAGCGAAGTGTGTTCAACGCACTTAACCATTTCTATCCTTATTGTAAGACAAGACATCTCTGAAGACCAATCAGTCCTAGAGAGGTAGTTTGGATTTAGGTGGCGAAAAACCTTTGCCAAACATTCTCAAATTGCCATTCAAGGTGTCCAGAAGACTCTGAATCTTGTCAGCGTCGTCACCTGATAGGACTGAACTATGTTAACTAAGTACTCTAGATCTAGTAAGGATTCTCCTGTGATAAGATTAGTCCTTGTTACACCAGACGAGGATAGGGAGATCTCCATAAGTCCGTTTATGGTCAAAGTAAACAGGAATGGTGGGAGTAAGCATGCTTGACGGACATCACCGGATGTATACAGCTCACTTGACAATCCACAACAGGGTCTAACGCACCCATGCATGTTCCAGCGAAAGCCTTCAACAGAATAATGTACTTACCCAGTAACCCCTTCAAGAAGAAGTACCATCATAAGACCTCTCAACAGATGGATTAAAAAGAGGCGTTCAGGTCGGGAAACACAGGTAGTGTTAAGCGTTGACAAGTGTGCCTGAGCTTCTGGACCTATTGAAGAGTGAGTATCAGGCTGATACACCCATGGCCAGGTAAGAAACCTGACTGGTTTCCTCGAGTTTGTTGTTGCCGACCTCCATGTACACGTCCGATAATTATAGAACCTAGCATCTCAGATATCCTATTCGTACGAATGACTTACCTTGTGATTATAACAAGAGGAGGTCTACTTTCTCCTGACAACTGGGACAATTAGTGGTTGAGAGCAGTCAGAGGGGATCGTTACTGACTTCTACACGTTAATTAGCACTTCACTTCACTTGACTAAAAGTCCTCAACCACTGTCATCAAATGACTCTGGAACTAATTCGTCTGGCTCTGCTGCTTTTCCCGGTTTCAGATTACCCACAGCTTTCTAGACTTTTTTAACTGTTGGGTGTCTCTCATCTCGATGTTCCATTCCGGATTCGACTAAATAGCGAGTAACGGAATAGTAGCTCAAGGTCAGTTGAACTGTTCCACCTACCGTCTCAGTTGTATTCCCTGTGTGTGAATTGTTGACCCATCCTTCTCCGCCAGTCTCAACAACCAATGATAACAATAACTGTCGAGTCCGTTTCTCACTGAAAGGTGCCTCAGTGCTCTCATTACCAAGCTGTTCTTGTAATTGTCTTGTTGCTAATGTTTTTCTACGTCCATTTAGACGCAGACACACAGAAAAACAGAATCAACGTAGAACCTCATACACAAATGAACTGGTTCAAGTTTCCAGACTTCACAGTAGTTTACGAAGAACACGTGGATAGAAGTGATATGAAAGTAGTATGAGAACAAACAATTTGAATCAATGCGTGGTCACTCTCCAAAGACGTTCCCCAGAAGGAGTGACAGTCCTCCACCGACCCTCTACAGCATTGAGTGACAGCAGTGTATTCTGTCTGAACTTTGGTTATTGGATTGTGCTGCAATTTTTGATATAACAGCTAAACCTAGTCCAGAAACACAAGCAAACGAATTTTTGAGAGGTTACTGCCAGAGTAACTAATTAATCACTGGTTCAGTGGTTGAGTCCTGATTTGTTCATTTGAGCACTTGATTTTTGCATGAGTTCAGGTTTCGCGTCAGCTATCGAGGATTAGGTAGCCAAGTGGGTTATTTTTCAGTATACAGACCTATACCAGTTCATCAGTAAGTGATCTAATAAGGGTATTTTTTAAGTTAGAATCTTCGTTATAAAAATAGGGTGAGCATATTGTGCTGGATAGGGTATTACTATGAAAGGCGTATTTTTTGACACCGTTGACAAAAGTACTAGACAAGGATTAAAGATATATTTGGTTTAGAAGCACACATAACTAGTAAAACACAGAATCCGTAATCTAAGGTTTATGGTGGTAGTACAGTTTTTATTAAGATCCATCCTACTAAAAACATCAAAACATTGAGACCTATGTTTCATATCATAGAGAGCGATCCCGAAGATCTTCGAAATAAAAGTGAAAAGGACGATATTTAGTAGTTAACTGGCTATTTATGCATGTAGAAAAGGGTGATATATAATCTCTCAGACAAAATTAGACACAACAATGTTATATTTCTTTACTTCAACAGTTGACACAACTACTAGTGAAAAGCAGAAAGATAACTTACCTCAGCTTGCAGTTTCTTGCGTGATTTCTCCAACTTTTCAACTTGTGAAACAAGTTCCTCATTGCGATTTCGCGAGTCATCCAATTCACGTTGGAGCCTTTTACGTGCATCTTCCAGGGTTTCCAACTGAAGTGTGTCTTCTTCTACTTTTTCTTTGCGTCTTGCATCTGTGATTAAAAGTGATCAGTATATATATATATATATATATATATATATATATATATATATATATATCGGCAGCTTAAAACAGTCAAATAGTAATTTAGGTGATGGGCATTCTGTAACTTGAATAAGAATAAGCAGTGAGAAAGAGAGGAGGGATTTTTGAACACTACAACTGTTAAACAAGAGGAATTACCTCAATGTGAAAAAACTAACCGTAGCATTTAATTAAAATAATGTAAAATGGGAGGATCACCTCTCCTCTTTCCACACTAACTGTAACCTTAATAGCGATGTTCAGTACGAGAGGTGTTTTTGAAGAGGCTGCGAATTAATGCTGACTGCCATTTTCAGTCTTCAAGGAGTTCTTCGTTGGAAATATGGCTAAAAAAATATTTGTTGCTTGGACAAACTACTGTTTGTTGGTCAAAAGCTGACCATAAGCTATTCATTTCACATGGTCGATAACTTATCGTGAACGAGCTCTTTAATAAAGTAAAGGAAATCAGTGGGAAACAATGGAGTGACTGATAGGCATTAGTTCCATGTTTGATTTCTCTCAATTGGTAACCAAAGTTTCAGCGTATTCCACGTGACTTGAAATTCCTTATATATGACGATAATAGTGTTCGACGACTACTTCATAAGGACAATATTCAACCCGTGAAACGAGGCCTCGATAAGAAGAACCAGTTAACTTAACTTAATAGAGAATTGTGCAGGATGGTTGAAATAAAATACTCTGATTACTGCTATGTTGGGGAAAACATGATCGGGATAATTTGACAAAATTAATAATAAATATACGAGGTATAAAACAATTTAAATATACGCTGCTTGTCTTAAGCACTAATCTGAAACTTCGGTCAAGTAGATATTAGGCGTCATAATAAGTAGACCACAGTTCCATATTTCTAAATGAATACCTACAATAACAAAGTTTTTACTATAAAATAAAACCCAATCTGTTTATTCTTACAGAGTAACGCTTCGGCAGTGTGCATTCGGAAAATATTGATAAGAAAGGTTATTCTGTTTCTTAACACAGCACACATGAAAAATGAAATAAATGTAATGACCTGCATGGTTAACGTTAGGACGTGCTTTTCCAGAGCAACTTTTGCGTGCTCTTCAGAGTCCAATAAATCCTTTACTGATTCTCGTTCATCTTCCACTTGACGGAGCTGCAACTGTATGCTCAATTTTGCCTGAGTTTCCTCATCCAATCGTGCACGAAGGTGGTTGAGCTCGGCTTGAGCGGATGTCTCAGAACGTAAAACTTTGCCAAGCTTCGTTTCAGTTTCTTCCATGGCACTATTTAAACCCTCAATTTCATTTAACGCTTTGTTGAGTCTGGATTCTAAATCGTTACGCTGCATTTCTAACTCCTGGACTTTGACGAGGTTCTCGTTCAATTGCTGTTCTCCTTGGCGACGACGCTTATCCATTTCTGCTCTAAAGTTTTAGAAGAAAACAAAATACACTTAAAAATGAACACAGAAGTGTGTCTGTACACACTATTTGGAAACTGAGATGAATGAAATATAAGCTACTAATAAGCAAATAAATGAACATTCTATATATTATCGAGGTCTGATGCATTCCTTCGTTGATCTATTATAGAATGACAGATTTTGATTAGTCAGATCTCATGAATGACAGCAACGAAGAATCAGAAAAAAAAGCACACAACGTCAATAAATGTTAATCATCTCGGTTGAGTAAGTGAACAACGAAATCATGAAAAGCGGTGTTGATAGTCGATAGACGATATCACCGTTGGTTTATATTGTGTATGTTTGTTTTAAATCTTGGTTAAATTATCAAAGCTAACTCAAATAATACAACCATTCGACGAATCAAACGCAAGAAAAAATACATGTCGCAGATCCAACTGCGGATCAACACTATTCAGTAATATTAGGGCTTTATAAGCAGAAGAAATACAAACCAATATACTGAATATGCAATGGAAAGCAAACAGCATAAACAGCAGGTTTGACGTCATATATAATTTTTCTGCAATCGAATAGCCTGCAAGTAGTGACCTGACAAGGAACCAAAACCGTGTTGAAATCTCATTGTGATGCAGATTTGCTTTAAATTTTTCTTATCGTTCATGGCACAGAGTTAGTCTCATGAACTTAGGGGCGACATGAGTGGAAAACTGGGTTGTAAAATCTTAAAAATTAAAGACTAAAGAAGGGCTCAAAAGACAGAAAATTTCGGAAATACAAGCACATAATTTGTGATTGACGATTACGAAGCGATAGAGACTGGAAAAAACAATAAGATATATGCATAGCACATACTACTCACTTGTCTGATCTAAGGCTTTGAATTTGTTTCTTTAGTTCTTCAGTTGTTGAATCCTGTTGAACTTTCGATCTTTCCAATGCGGTTTTGCTCTTTTTAAGTTGTTCAATTTGTTCATTGAGTGCCTCCAAAGCTAAGGCATGAGATTTACGCATTTCTTGAATTCCTGTTTCATGAGCACTGAGAAATTTAAGGAAGAGGCAAAATAATGATGCGGAATTAGGGAGGGGGGTTACTTTGAAGTCTAACTTTAGTTAAATTATAACTATCAGAAATGACATGATATCCATGAAGTGTGAATATTCACTGATAAGGTTTAGGTTATTCATCTGAATACATTCACTGATAACAAACACGTGTACATCGTGATTGGTAAAAAACCTATAGTATCTCGAATGAGTAGAGCGTTGGCTTATTCAGGAAACACCTTATGATTGTTCGGTTATTATACAACAGCCACTTTTATTCCGGGGATATATATAAAATATCGGCTGTGTGCCTAACTGACATAGACAGTTTCACCTTCAACCAAAGGATCATCGGGGTACGAATTGTGCCTTACATACCGAGATTTAGGCAACTAGGTATTATCATTATTCCTCATATAATAAGTGTGGCTCACTGCATGCATAAGGTTCCCGATTTGCATTTTTTAGGCAATGGATAGTGCGAATTACTACTAGTACTTGTCACTTGGGTTCCTAGTGGAACACAGAGATTCAGTAGCACGTCACCATTTCACTCTCTTCTCTGTACTCTCTTCAACCTGGCTCCACAACTCCTCACAAACCTTCATTTCTTCCAAACACAATCTCCTGGCCTGACCTGGTGTGTGGTGTCCCCAAATGGTCTTCTCAGTGTATGTCTAATCTAATCCATCTCCACTCCCGTCTGCATACACGTTGAGCGATGGGTTCTTGATTGGTTCGTTGCCAGCCAGTCAGGCAGTGTTCCTCGTTGCTTATTCTTATCATTCTGGTCATCTGATCTGATCTTCAGTATCGAGTGAGAGTAGGCAGCAGCTGTTGATGATGTATATCTGTAGTTTGCTGGAAATGCTTTCAGTAACGCTCCAAGTCTCTCAACCATCACACTGAAGCACTGACTTACATGATAGTGTTTAAAATCCGGATCTTGTTGTTTATATTGTGTGGAGTGGAGTAGATCTCCACACTGATTTCAGGTTAATGAAGGCTTGTCTTGCTGTATTTCCGATCCTGGCTTTGACATCCTCATCTGTGCCTGTGGTGTCGCCTGTAGTTGAGACGATGCTACCTAGGTAGGTAAGTGAAAGAGACAACTTCCTTTAGATTGCTCCCGTTCATGGTGATTGGTGCTTGTTGTTGTTCGGGTATCTTCATCACTTCTGTCTTCCCTGCGTTCACCTGAAGGAAGTCCCGTCTTTGCTGCCCTGCCTCGCCTCTTCTGCCAACTTGTTACTTTTTGCCTGTAGATCTTCGAGTTCGTGTGACAAGACACTAGACGTAAATCGTCATTGGCGAAATCCAAATCTTCTAGGGTCTTTTCATCGGTCTAACCAGCGTATGCGTCTTCTCGCTCACAGTTTGTTGCATAATCCAGTCCGGTCCAGTCGATCACAATCAGGAAAACCATCGGTGACAGTAGGCGTCAACCTTGTCTTACTTCTTTCTTCACTTCAAAGGTATCATTGAGCTTTCCATTGTGAATGGATAATATGAAACGTGAAGAAAAAGTTCAGTTAATAAGAGTGAATCTGTTGTTGGAACGCAATCTAATGAATCCTAATGCAACTTAGCGACCTAAGTAACGTTCAATATGTTAAAGTGCACAATGCTGCCGCCTTGGTGAAAATTGGCGGAATAGGTACGGAAAAATAGCTCAATAGATCAGAGTCAATTGCTCAAAACACTCAAGCACAGCTTCTCCAGTGTAAAACACTAGGTATCAAAATTATGGCTTTTTCAAATTTAGTTTTGGGTCACTACTGTGCAGCATGTTTTGTCATTCTTCATTCGGAAATCCCTTCACAGTTTGGATGAATGAATAAAGAACTAAAGTACTTCATTTTGACAAACCACTCCGAATTTTTCTGAGCACATCACTTATGTCGTTTCTTACGGTTTAAAATATCCTTTGTTTTTACTCATAGCCCCAATGATAACCCTAATGCTATGAAGTTATTTTACGTTTGAAAGATGTGAAATATGTGTAAAGCATCCTCAGATTTTAGATGGCCTTTCTTATACCTTCCCAAAGATAAGTTTATGTGCAAATATTTGAATAGCTAAACATGCTTCTTTCGAAGTGATATGACACTATGAAATCTAGAGGGAACAAAAACCTTGTGCAGATTCCTGGTTGAATACCAAGTTAGATTTGCATGATGATTGACGGAACTAAACAGCTGCCTAAATTGTGATAGGATGCAATAATTATTACACGGAAGGTGAAACATATAACTCTGAGAAGTGTAACTTACTTGGACTGAGCTTCAAGTTGATGACGCAGACTAGACAAATCCGACTCATACTTTCTGAGAGCTTGAGTTTGAGCTTCACTGTTTGTCCCGCTATCAAGGAGTTCTAACCTCATAGCTTCCACTTCTTCTGTAAGATCTCTTTTAGCTTCATCCGCTTTGTCTCGGGCTTTCCGTTCAGTATCCAAGTCTTCATGAAGTTCTTGAATTAGAGATTCACATTCTCGTACTCTTTTCTGCGCCATAGTCTTGGCAACGATTTCTTCATCAAGTCGACTCTGTAACTGAGCAACTTCTGCCTCTAATTTGGCGACAGTTGCACGAAGTTCATCAACAAGCCTTAAACTTTCTGACGCCTGATCTGAACGTTCAGAAGCCTCTGTTTCAAGTCGTCGCTTTGCCATCTCAATATCCTGGCGAGATTTCTGTTCACGGGCAAGTTTATCCTGAAGTTCTGTAAGACCGCTCTCATGTTTACTCTTTAACTTAGTTAGTTGTTTGGTACGTTCTTCTTCTTCGGCTAACTGGCTGGTCAATAAATCTATTCTATCAGCTAACTGCTTTTTGTCTTTAAGCAGTTTGTTGTACTTGTCTTCAATGCTGACATAACCGTCGTTAAGCTGGGAAACTTTCTGTTCCATAGAGGTTTTTTCAACTTGCAACTTTTGGCGCTGTTGTTCTTCCAGTTCTAACTGGTCAGATAGATCTGTTAGCTGAAAAGCAAGCATTTATTGGGTAAATATCACACTATCAAGGAACTACTGAATGTGATAGATTACATTGTAGTGAAAGATATGTTTTGTCTACATAGTTATGAATGGGGAATTATTAGAATTTCAGTTTGTGCACCAACTGATTTCGTTCTTGGGTAACAAAATGAATTTGTTACCCGATGTCAAAATTAATTTTGGCGACAAATTGAGCTTCTGAAAAACTCGATAGTAATACCGTGCCAATCAATATTTAATCGTACTTAGCCTTCATAGTATGGGGTATATAATTCAAAGGCTTATTGAAAAATTCAAAAATTATGGATGCGCACAGTTGAAGGATTATAAGGGACGATCAGGTGGTTGTCTACTGCTGTTTGCAGTTGTTTGGAAGGCATGAATTTTCAGTTGAAAACAATTCATTTTTATGTAAGCTGAGAACGTGTATCCAACATATATGACACACTCAGGACAATAAAGAGAACAGAAATCAGCCTACTATTCCAACAATCAAACCGCTAAAAGGAGAGAACAGAACAAACACTCAATGATAATAAAAGTAGAGAGGAATACATCACGCTTTTTACAAACATTTAACAACCATCCATCGTTAAATATACATCATCAAAACAAACCACACCAAAAAGTACGAATATATATAGTATGAAGCTAGTCAATGAGAATAAATGGAATTTTTGTATTTTCATCATAATTCCATTAATATTTTAAAGGAATGTTGTTCACGTTACCTGTTCTAATAGGCGTTTTTGTTCGGCTTCCAGGGCATGTAATCTAGACTTCTCTTCATTATCTTTATTTTCCAACTCCACATAGTCTTCTTCCAAAGCCTGCAGTTTTTCTCGTAGACGATCACGTTCCTATAACACAGAATAGAAGACAACAGACAGTAATAACTGTGCTTAGTTTCTTGTTTGCTTATTTTAAAAAGTGATAACAATAATCGTCATTATGTACGTACAAACTTACCATTTGTAAATTTTGATTCGAATCATGTTCTTGTTGTAATTCAGCATTTAACTGAGCCTTTTCATTGCTCAATTTTTCATAGGCTCTTTGCACTTCACTTAGATCACTGGTAACTTTTTCCATTTGTTCTCGAATCTTCGGGAAAAAAGGAAGAGCACGTCATAAATTTAGGTAGGCTGATTGGGAAGGTAAACGAAATATATCAAAATGAAAATATTACGCAGAATTTCGTCATTATCACTATATTATCATCATTATTTGAAATCCGGTCTGTCAAACCAAAATTATTTACTCGATAATGGCTGATCTATTTTGACATATTTCTCGCAAGTTTTTGCATGAATATGCGAACAGTAGATCTGGAGAGATATGCTCACAACCAGATACAATAATCTACTTTTATTCCAACTAGTGACAGTAAAGAAGGTAACGAAGATATACATTTGAAAAAAAGGAGCGCAGATTTCGAACTTGATGAATCACATCATTTAATTTGCCTTTCTGAAGCAAAAAACTCATATTTGAACAACTTGCCTTTGCTAGAGAAAAATCAAACATCCGTCTCATCAGAAAATAGAACAGTTTGGTGGATCATAGGTTCACGGGAAGGAATCTAGTATTCACACGGATTTCCAACTTTCAATCAAATTTACGAATCTAAAGAAGCACGATACATTGTTATTCCCAAGTGGTCACAACTGAATCACCAAAAAAGGTTCGTTACAGAAACCGTCGAACTAACCTTTCTAAGTTCTTCTTCCTTCACAGCAACTAGATCTTCTTGACGAGTAACAGTAAGAAGTGGTCTCACTTTCGTGAACAAGCGCCACCAAGCCCAATTTCTGAGTTTAAGATAAGCCTCACAATTTCTCTGAATTATCTTGCTGGCTTGAATATTTTGCAGACGTTGTTCTTTAGCGCTGTTAAAACATGAAAACGTTTATACTAAAAACTCGTCCTTAAAAAAAGATATTAAAGTTAATGTCATAGCTGGAAATTTCCCGTCATTGACTGAACCGAATTGATCGACCACTAATGACACATGCACCCCTGTGAGGATGTCTCGATATTGCCAGAATTTTCAGTTTGACGTTAACGCTAGGCGAAAAGCGGGGATAAGATAGTATGATTTCGCCTATTTTTACACAAAAATCAAAAGGTATCATATTGTCCTTAAATTTCAAGAGGTAAAACCTTTGACTATAGAGTTACTTAACAGTTCGAATATGAGATATTTCGATTTTCTGTAACTGTAAGGCTACAGATATAAGTAGCTTTAGCACTATTAATATAAAGCAATTTTTCAACCAAGTAAGGGATTGAGTGTGAGGCTATATATTACACCTATTGTGAAAATTGGCGACATAATTCGGCTGCTTAAGCAAAAAGTAAGCAGAATGAATTTCGACTGGTTATTCAAATGCTGCAACAAACCAAAGACCCACCCTATCGGGCTACAACTTTATAAATCACTGAGATCTGAATTCAAGTCTTCCCTTCAATTGTCAGTCAACGGAATTCATATGAGATACAGACAATACAAAAGTGACAAGATAAGCGAGCCATTAATACAATGATTTGTACATTAGTTGAATTCATAAAGAAATATTAAAACTAATTCACCAAATCAGCAATTAATGACCACCTTACCGTCGTGCTAGATATCCTCGAGCATATGCCTGGAACTTAATGATTGTATTGGTCAAGTGTATGTCACGATCCTCTTCCAACTGAGCGAGAACACCGACTTTGAAAAATATTTTGCTATGACCAATGCAATAAACTTCAGGGCTTAAATCAAGAGCCTTCAACATTTCATTAACAGCTTTTCGACCATCCATAAAACCCTAAATCGAAATAATAAAAATTAACTTGATATACACTATATAGTTGTTTTTCAAAAAAGTTTATCATCTCACTTTGCGAACCCACAGTATTCAAACCTTACACTGAAAACTACGGTCTTGTAATAAAAGACTGAAAATTATACGATCACACTTCAAACCAGTTTACTCGTGTGATAAGTAGTTGACATAAAAAATAGGAAGTGGTTATCTTAGGATCACAACTTAGTGCAGAATAACCGAGTACTAGAGACTGACTGAAATTTGTGGTCTTTCCAAAGCTTTACGGAACAGGGTTACAAACAGCACGTGCATTTGATGTGATGTAAGTCAGTCAAGTCAATCAATATTGACGTAAGCTTTGGTATTAGTGCGTACGGATAAGGTTGACATATCAAAACATCAAGGTAGATTTTACCAAAATGGAAGAAAGAGAAATAAGGAAGAAAGTGGCCGGAAGTGGTAGGAAATTATCAAGTGATGACAAGGGAGGGGGAAACAATGACGAAATTCGGTACGGAAACTAAAATGAAGTATGGATACATCTGTACCATTGTGACCGATTCACAGTCATATCAACTAGAATTTTCAAACATCGATTTCGGATGTCACGCAGAACGCAGAACAGGAAGTATGTGTACACCTACGAGTTTTAGACCAATAGTCAGACTTCAAAAACGGACACTATGTCCTAGTCTGGCGATCGCTAACCCTTTTTCAAACTGAACATACTTCAGCCAAGATAGAGTGACAAGGCAGACGGTAACCAGATATGAGCAACATATATCTCAGACACCTGAATCTACGAAGCTCCACAACCTTATTAACTGACCTTCTTCTTCCGCCTGAAACTCTATACCTAACTTCTAACCTAATAGGTGTGATGGTACCACGACATGGGGCATATGGTACGAAGGTAACGATGGTCAAACACCTGAAGCCACCTCATGTCCTCTACCTCTGATGGCTATGTTTCATATTCATATTGTAGAATAGGGCGAACTGCAGTGTAGTACACTTGACTCTTAATAGACAATCGGATATCAATGCGGCACCATAGACGGTATCAATTAGCGAAGGTCAAACGAGTCTTTTGTATCCATGCAGAAATTCCGTCGGTTAGTGATCCATCAAGGCTGATTTGATTTCTCAAATAAGTGAAGTAATAAATGCGTTCAACCATTTCGCTTCCTACTGTTGGAGATGGAGTATCACAACACACCAGTCCTGGAGCAACAATTTGGATTTAGACGATGAAAAGCGTATCCCAAACGTTCTGAAATCGCCACTCAATGAGTCCAGAATACTTGATGTAAAGTAAATTATCGGCAGATACAGCTTGTTACCAATCATTATTACAACAAAACACTGAGGAATTGCAATGAATTTGGAATCCAGTTAGTAAGTGGATGTAGTTCTTCAGTTATAATGAAAGTAAGGTATGCTATACGTCTTAGGCTAAAAACCAGTTTAATCGTCATCCTTCAATGAGTATGAATAGGGATTAATTTTTTCCAACTGTTTTTATAGAACTAGTCTATAATCAACACCATTCTCATAAGAAATAGAACTGAACGAGTCAATGGCTCTAAAATCATTCGTCAGCAAATACTGAATTCATTTAAAATAAAAGTTTTATTTTATTGATTTAGTACTAACCTTTGTAATAAAATTAGGAGTTAAAATTTCATAACGTTGTCGGAATTCTTGGAAGAGAATACGTGATGGAAACCCACGACGACAAATCCTGATCCCTTCTAACACACCATTACATCTAAGCTGGTCGAGGACCAGTGGGCCATCAATTCGACCGGGCTTTTTCTCGTGATTTGGAATGATACAGCGAACAAAGTTTGGTGATGTATTTTTCAATACAGTCATCAGACGTATGAGTGAATCTTTGTACAACTGACTTACAGTACGGAACATTCCCCTTCTTACGCCACGAGCAGAGCCGAAAGCAGTATCATTTGTAGATGTAGCTGACATACTCACAATTTCTGCATCTTTCCACATAGCCTGCCGAAAAGGATGAAGCAATATAACTGTAAATAGAATTAACCTAGTTTGAAATCTTGTAGAGGTGATTTTGCAAAATAATTTACTGGATACTCTCGTTAGTCTATTAAGTAGTCGATATTGTAAGGAATAATGTACCCATGGAAGAGATTGTAGACCTAATTTAAAGATTAAAGCAATCATGTAGAAAAAAGCAACTGAAATACGATTTTTGAATGTTATTTCATATTCCTTTTTACTAAAATCATAGTGACACGTTTCTTCTTACTAAAATCGAGGAAATTCCATACCTTAATCCGTTTACTACTATGGTAATTCTTTTCGTAAAATATCTGAAACGTTTTTCACCCGAAAATAGAAAAGTAATCTAGATTTCTATTCGATTTACTACCGGATCATTATCTCAGAGCATGTAGTCTACGGTATAAACATTCTTATATGGATAAATCCTACTACTACAACTGATGTCTATAAAAAGCTAAATTGTTATTTTACACAGTCAGTACGGAGAATGAATTTCGAAAGATAGAATAAAAACACGAATGGCAGATTTTGAACATTTATTGATAATTTTAATTAGTATATCTGATACTTTTCGTTGCTACTATCGCAAACTCTTGACAAGGCTTAATACATACAAAGCTGTTTTCCCAGATATTTTCTTACACGCTTACAACCAAACATGCTGGGATTATATTCCCCATTGGTTTACAAGAACAAATGATTTAGAATAATTTAGTCTTAAACAAAATAAATTTGCCAAATGAAGCACAAAAAAATGAAAGCATTGCGCACATTTTTTGTCCTTTGGGTCCCTAATGGAACATGGGGCTTCAGTAGCGCGTCTCCATTCCACGCTCTTATCTGAAATCTTTTGAACCTCGCTCCACGACTGCCCACAAGCTCTCATTTCCTCCTCGCACGATCTCCCCCATCTCACCCTCAACTACGACGCCCAACTCGTCACTTCCCATCTCGGTTCCACTCGAGGGCCTGGCCTGACGCGTGATGTCCCCAGTCGGCTTTCTCAGTCTATGCCCAATCCATCTCCACTTCCTTCCAGTGCATATTTGTTCAGCGATAGCTTCTTGGTTGGTTCGTCACCAGCCAGCCACAGTTCCTTGTTGCTTATTCTTATCATTCTGGCCACCTGAGCTTCAGTAACGAGCCAGCGTAGGCAACACCTGTTGATGAATATCTGTAGTTTGTTGGAAATGACTTTCGTAACACACCAAGTTTCTCAGTCATCACATAGAAGCACTGACTTGACTGAATTAATGTTGGAAATCCGGATCTTGTTCACGCTTTATGCTGAGTGCAGATCTCCACACCGATTTCAGACTAATGAACACCTGTCTTGCTAGCTTTCCGATCCTGGCTGGCTTTGACGTCCTCGTCTGTGCCTGTGTCGTCTGTAGTTGAAACAGCGTTGTCTAGATAGTTGAAAGGGGCTACTTCCTTTAAGTTTCTCCCGTTCATGGTGACTGGAGCTTGTTGTTGTTGTTGTTGGTGGTGGTGGTGGTGTTGGTTGGGTATCTTCATCACCTCTGTCTTCTCTATGTTCACTTGAAGTCCCGTTTTCGCTGCCCTGCCCTGCCCTGCCCTGCATCTTCTGTCAACTTGTTAGTTTTCGCCTATAGATCTCCAGGTTTGTGTGACATTGGACACAAGTCATCGCTGGCGAAATCCAGATCTTCCAGGATCTTTTCATCGGTCCAGCCAGTGTATCCCCCTCTTCTCGCTCCTCACTGTTTGTTGCATGATCCAGTCCAGTCGACCACAATCAGGAATATCATGGGTGATAGTAGACAGCCTTGTCTTACTCCTGTATTCACTTTCCATTGTGAATTACTTGGCATGTGGTGTCGTCATTATAGTTGTTGAATGAGACTGATAAAGATTTGTGGTATTCCGTAGTGTTGAAGCAGCTGCCTGCCAAATTACTTCTCGGTCGACGCTGTCGAGGGCCTTCTCAAAGTCGATGAAGTTGAGGTGAGGTAGAGAGTTGACTGGCATCATATACTCTGTTCTATGATGATGCGTAGTGTAGCGTTGCAATTCGCTCCGCACATGATTTGTTATTCCTAAAGCCAGCCAGTCTGATCCGGTCGTAATTTTGAATCCAGCGCATCCTTTAGTCTCTCCAGGATGATGCGGTTTCATATTTTGCTTCGGGTGGACAGGAGTGGAGCATGATTCCGCGCCAGTTCTTGCAAACACTCAGGTCAACCTCCTCTGGGAGTTTGACAATGTAGCCATTCTTCCAATCAGTGGGCAGGCACCTTTCCTTCTATCCTTCTTCCCAAACCTTCTGCAATAGTCATGTGAGCATGTCCACTGTTGTCTCTGCTTCTGTTATCAGTGTTTCTGGTGGGATTCCATCTGGTCCTGCTGCTTTCCTGGATTTAGCAACTTTATGGCGTTCAACACTTCACTTCAGCTTTTGTCGGAGGACTTGTGTTCACTTGTAGTTCTGTGGCTGGGCTGCTGGTCGTATTTTGGACGAGTTGCAGGTCGTGGTGGTGGTGGTGGTGATGGTGATGGTGATGGTCGATTGAAGAGTTTTTTGAAGTGTTCAACACATCGTTCCCTTTGTTTCTCTTCTTTGGTAATTAAATTTCATTCATCATCTTTCATTGGTTTCGTCTGTGTTGATCTCTTCCATCCCAGACAGTAAGTAACCCGGTTATTTGATACAATGTTGTCAGGTCTCTGTCTCTCCTACCCACAGCCTACAGCCTGCAGCCTGTTCTGCTTCACTTGTCAGTGTTTCGTAGAAGTGTCTTTTGTCTTTGTACGCACTCTTCTTCACTTCCTTGTCCAGTGTAGATTTTTACAGGTTGTAGTCAGTTCCTCTTTCCGTTGTTCACTCTTGCACTACACGACGGACACATGGAAGGCGTTAGGGCACTGCACTGCACTGCACTGGTTCATCTTCTGCTTCACCATCCTCCTCTCCCTGCCTATCGGCTTCCACGCGTCCTTCGAGATCCATTCCTTGCATTCTTTCTTCTTCCTTCTTAATACGGTTATGCAGGTTTCTGTTTACATAGCTTTCAAAAAGTTTCAGTGCTCATCCACACAGGTTATTTCATGAATGTTGCTCGATATCTCCCATTTTGTTTTGATGGCTGACGTGAAGATTTTATTTGTAGTTTCGTCCTACAGTTTCCGGGTGTTGAACTTGAACTGCGGTCTATCAACAACCTCCTTGAAGGCTTTCAACTTGATTTTGTAGGTTGCGCACATACAGTACTGAATTTGCAGATAGGTTTTGTAGTCGCTCTAGTGTATTTCGGTAATTAAACAGAATGAGGCTGCTTCATTCTAATGCATCGGAAAAAGTGAAATGAAAGGTGTTTTCATCGAATGAATTGTAACATACCATAAAACCTGAAAAATTCAGCTGACCCATCTTTCTTAGTCAAGAAAGCAATGAGACAGTGACTGAGAAATTAATGACGATGTGATTTACAGAGTTCCATCACCCAGATTTGATACCCATTGGCATTTATCTGTAAACAGCTTTTGTGACATTCACAGCTCTCTAGAAGATTTTAAGTTACTTCATCTAATCAATATGGGATACCAACGTTGGCAATTTTGACTGATATCCTTTTTATAGTCAAATCTGTCTCTTACTTATTCTCTAAATACTTATCAAGCTATTAACGTTTTTAAACAATTTAACTCTCATAACTAGCAATAAACCGTGAACCTTTTTGACTTGTTAATACAAAACTGTACATTATGTGACTTTAGATCACTTTTCATGCATACGTAATTAGGTCATTGATCTACACTATGTTATACAATAAAGTCGACAGTCAAATACTCACCTGAACAAACAGATCGTTAGATGTCTGAAGCAATGCGACGACATTATCGTTAAGAGGGTCCATATTCTTCATCAACCACTGATTTGAATTATAGTCCACTCGACCAGCATAATGAAGGACACCGAAATCGGAGTTGGAACGGAATTCCGTTTTACACAATTTTGGATGCTTATCCTGAGATTTCATGAGTTTTTCAACAAACGACTTATCAGTTGCTTTCGGGAAGAAACATTCTTCATCCAGAAGAGCGAAGATACCCATAGGCTAACATAAGAAAGTACCAGTGTTTTCGATGATTATACAAAGGTAGGAAGAAATCACAAAATTCAGAACGAAAGATGATATACGCTTTCAGATATAAGCTACACGAAACCCGTAAGTATAAAACCAAGCATTTGTAGAACTTTTAGGGGTCTAATAACGGAAACATTAGTTTTCGATTGCCTTTATCACCACGATCGACTTACTTTTACTTGAAACTGAGTTGAAAATATGGTTTAAGTAATCAAGATATCATATTTGATAAACAGGAAGTCAAAATAGTGGTGTAGTGCATTATGCAAGCCGTCAGTTGTAGAGATAAAATTGGAAAATTGGGAAGACTGCGACTCACCAACCAGCTTCATACACTGATTACCCAACTGATAATACTTGCCAGAAGTTAAATAAAAAGATATTTTAAAAACCTCCTACAGATAAAGCTATATTTGATACTCATCAGAAATATGTAAAGAAATATCACGCTATGCACTTTGAAGTTTCATGGTGGGCAAAACAGAAACATTTGTTGGACACTAATCAGTATGTATTGCCACATACATCGTCAATAGGCAACTGTTCTATTTCATTGACTTAATTAGTTCTGAAGGTTTAACAATTCCTACTAGACCCTTGAGAATTTCGATAAGAAAATATAACTAGCGAGTGGTATGTCGTTACACAAATTTTTATTTTCACATAAGACTAGGTTTATTCCTCGACGCTTGGAAATAGATTTTTTCTGACTACCGGAGCGAAAATTCCAAACATTATAGCTTAGTTTGTACGTGGGTAAATGCTGCTAGCGTAAACGACTTACTGGAGTAAAACGAAAATATCAGAATCAATAAATATATAGTAGAATTATGACAAGTTCATTGGACTTTATTTCATGGTTAGTACATTTTTTCGGATGAATTACAATAAAGTAGGGAACATTAAAAAAGCTTTTGTAACTACTGTTACCGTATTATTACTATGTAGTTTGAAAGTTCCTTAAAAATAGATGTGAATCAACAGTTAACGACTACAAAGCACAAAGATATGCTGTATCGTTTATTTAGTGTGCGGAATGCTAGTGACGGTTACGACACCTAAATGAAATGTACATTATTAGCGGTACACAAAATAGAAAATAACATACTTCTTAGTTTAATATTGATAGATTTGTTCTGCTCGTGTAACTGACTTACTGTTTTCCTTCATATCAGGATTTTAGAAGTGGATAAGAAGTAATGGACAACTTGTCCATGTTCAGAAGTGTATGGAAAAGCCATTGAAAATATAACACTGTTAGCCTGTTGCTTATCTAAAACAAACCTAATAAAGCAAGGGGACTGAGAAACATATTTTTCAGTGAAGCACAGGGATGCATAATATGACTACAAGATACATGACTAACTAGGTCACAAATACAAGAATCTGAAGCTGAGCTGATTTCGTTGAAATACTACCATCATGAGCGGCTCGATGAACGATTGTAGAACCCTTCCTTCACCTACCTAGCGAGTGCGTTTTATCAAATGCAACGTCTACTATCATTTCTTATAACAGTTGGTAATGAAAATAGACATTAGTGGGGTATGAAAGAAAGTGGAGACTCATTAATACTTTGACCAGCCTTCGCTTTCCTATCTCATTATTATAATGAAGTCAGTTCAAAATATGATTTGCCATCTTCGAAAAATGCTAACAAGGTAGAATTACCTATAAACAGCCAGTCATACTCATAGCACACCAAGAAAATTGTTCACGATTGAAATAAACTTACGCGCTCAATTAGATCGATTGTAGGCTGTAGATCTAGTCCAAAATCTATGAATTCCCATGGAATGCCTTCACGTGTATACTCATCTTGTTCCAAAACAAACATTGTTTGGTTAAATAATTGTTGAAGTTTTTCATTCGTATAATTGATACATAGCTGCTCAAAGGAATTCACCTAGAAAAACGAGTGATTTATTATGAAATGTTTGTAAATCATAGTTATTAGAGTAGTTTGTTTAATGTCCATAACATACATAGTAACGAGTGAGACTGCCTTGGATACAACAGTAGAAGGAGGAAAACTTCAATTGGTAAAAACAATGAAACACACTTTAAAAACGGGCCCAAGAAAAAAAAAGTGCTTACAACTACTAACAGGATAAAGACAGAATAAGTGAGTTAAGACCATTGGCATCATTTGTTAGTAATTCTATCGTGATCTAACTATGAGCTTTTAGTACTAAGTGGAACTTATGGACAAATCAATTGAAATCAACACTCACTATTTAAATTGTTTTGTTATCAGTTAGCTTAACCATACTGAGACCTTTATTCTTACATCATACTTCTATTACGGTTACATATTCACATTAAAGTGATGGTGACCAGGAATGCGCAGTACACTTCATTTATCCCAACTTACGCATATTTAACCTCAATTAGTCAACCCATTTAAAAAACGGAATTAATAGTTTAGTACAGCTCTGACTACAATGTATGACTGAGACGAGAAATACTACAGATATTTTATCAGAACACCCTTTTTAAGTAACGCTTGCTCTTAGCGAAACTACCAAATGATAAATTTCAACTTTAAATAGTGCTAAGAAAAGATGTTGCGTGGATGTTGTGTGGAACGTGTTACGGATACCAAAAGTTAAGAGTAACATTCAAAAAATTGGGAAGATGTATAGTCTAGAAGGCTGCAAAGAGATAAGATACACAAACTGGAGAATAATTTAACTGCAATACTTTTTCTCAGTCAGATAAATAAATGCAGACTTATGAGAATACTTTACAGTAGAGCCAGTAACTTAGGTATGATGAGCAAGTTCGAGAAATTAAGTAATCTTGATAACTTTCAGAGAAATGAACGTTTACAACTGAAAAAGAAGATTCGTATCAAGAGTGAACTAAACAAGTGCAGTATCCGGAAAAATATTTATGAAATTTGAAGCAGTGTCGAAAAAAAACGTTTTCTCGCGTCTGAACTTGTATCAGCATAGTAATTACGTTTCACATTAGTTAAATCTGTTTAAAGTTGATAAACATCCTGGCCACCATTATAAAACGTTCTCAACAATACGATATAGTTTGTAATGTGCACAAAGAGAATTTGATACACTTTTTACTCCCATCGTAACAGTAAAATGATAATAACCAGTTGCATAATCCTTTATAATACTCAGCTAGATTAATTTAGGTCCCACCCGGTCTCAGCTTCTTCACATGCCATACCATCTTTTAGCCAGTATTAAAGATTTCAATTTTTTCAGTCTTTCCTTTCTTTAGAAATCTGTAATTGTGTAATGAATTTGGATTACAGTTTACCATTGCTAATTTCGCAGTATTTCTGATTCCCAAATTTATAATACCTTCCAGTTTACTATTCGACTTTTTAATAAAGGTGTTTTACCTTATTGTTTGGATATTCATTGAAATTTTAAGTAACCTGCAGCTGATAAGAAGCCATGAAACAAAATATAAGCTTATAAAACAAGCCTGCTTTTTTTTGCTTTGTTCGAAATGGAAAGCCTGAAGGTAACAAGACTAAGGAATTTCTCTGCTAGCTTGTCTAAGGTATAAAAAAAAGTGCAGACTTTCATTAAGATAGGACAACAAAAATCGGTACGTAACTACTGTGAACAACAGAAATTTTCCGAAATTTACACTGCTTTTGCTTACTTCAACTCAACTTCCACAAGTTCGGTTTATGAAGTACAAAAAAACTTGCATCGATCTACTACTATCATCTTTAACAATTCATGCCTAGCGTGAAATCCCTGCAGCAGAGTATTAACTTAAGTCTGATGGCCCATAACAGACTGACACTTTAAAGACTAGAGGCTATCAGAAAAACAGTACACTGGTAGAATCACCTTAAACGTAGGCTTTTAAAAGACTTTCAAAAGTAAACTTACTTGGAAAATTTCAAAACCTGCGATGTCAAGAATTCCAACAAATGATGCACCTGGCCGTCTATTTTTGTCTAATGTTTTGTTTATTCGTGCGACCAACCAGAGAAAGAGTTTTTCATAGATAGATTTAGAAATCGCTTCAACAGCGAATTCCACTTGAGTCTTTGTTTGAGCTTTTGATACTAGATCTTTACCAACTTTTATGCGAGGTTTCAGAAATGCTTTGATCATTTCGTTCAAAGGAATGCCCAAAAGATGAGCTACCTTTTCAGCAACTAAAGAAGATAAAGTATTTATTATTTACTAGACGAATAAAACTCATGAGGACTGAAAATTTACTGTAATGAAACGAATTTCATATACCTGTGTCAATCTAACGGACTGTAATAACCACAGCACATATTACATCACTAAGTCAGAAACAACAGCAGGCTGCGATCCTAACTTGTACGTTTTTAAGAATGCTATTCCAACGTTTGATCGAACTGCCAGCTTACAGTGAACAGATTTCAGGTCAGTATAGAGCTACTTATTAATGATAAACACTGAATGAGTCAGATCTGATTTATTGAAATAGGTTATTCTGCTTATTTACAAACTTGTTCGATATCATTATTTTAACACACTTAAGACGGACGGAAGTGCTTTAAATAGTAAGTGGTTAATTTGCTGGTTTCGAGTTTAATTAATTAACACTTTAATCTCAAAAGTCACGTGGATGTCTAAAACATCTGTTCGAACAGTTGGTGTTTAATTCCAAGATGGTGTCTTAAAACAACAAGCTTATCAACCAGTGATTCGGCAAAACTAGAGACAGATGACTATTTAGTACTGAAGTTAAGAAATAAAAAAGCTCACAAAAGAAAATAACAAGTCGCACAGACATAAACGGGTTAATTAATACTAACCTGAATGATCTGGTAAAGTTGCTTGGTCAGAATTCCTTTCCTGACGAAACTCAAAGTTTCCCAGATGGAGTACGGCAGATATTACCCGGAATATAGCTGGAATTATAACAAAAATCACAAACAATGTTATAGATTATTCGATAGTGTCGATAACAAAATCATTCGTGAAAATGCTGTAATTAGGCCATAGTAACTGAACTCACCGTTCTGATCTTCACTATTAATACCCATTATATCCATGGCTTCAGTTGTTTCACGGAAAAATTGATGCTCATCAATTCCTGGGAGTTCAATCATGCCATTTGAAAGGAAGCGGTAGGAGCTAGCATGATTTAATAGTAGATGTTGTTGCATAGATGGAGTAGCAGAGGCCAAAAGTTGATAAAATATGTGAAAACAGCGTTCATCTGGCGCTTGACGAATAACACGAGCTTTTTCTAAAAGATCTACATTGTGATAAGGAATCTAGTCATTATGTGATACTTAGATATTAAAGGCGACAATATTTGAATAATTAATTGTATTCTATGTTTCTGTGCGAAAAGTCTGCTTTTGATTGATGTTATGTATGCTGATTTCAGTGATGACTAAAGAGGATTTTTGGTCCTTTGTGAACCATTTACCTTAAGGTTTATTCGCATGTCAATCACTGAGATGTAAGACATACACCGAGTAATCATACTACAATACATTATATATCTGACTCCTTGAAAGGAACAATAATAATTAAAAACAGAGTATTGTTATTTACGAAAAGGATACATGTCTCAATATTAGCCCCAGCTATGAATCCAGAGGTATCAAAATTTATGCGAATGAATTTCCCCTAAAAGACACAAAGAAAGCAATAGAGTACCGCATATATGGACCCATTATGGTAAACAAGAACAACACGTTACAATAACTCATATCAAAAAACCACTACCAAGGTACTCATAATAAAATATCTAGGTTCTTGAAAATCCGTTAAATACCAAGTATTGTGTGAACTAAAGGGAACTCTTCCAAACAGCTGCTACTAATCAAGCTGAAATTCCCTCACTGATAATAGAACAAGCTCATCTCGAACTGACATTAGAAGTCATCTCTATGGATACTTTTACCAGGTAAAACATAAGGCAATAAAGCCTTAGTAGCTAATTGGATTGAAACTACAGTCCATTACATCAAACTATTCAGAAGTTAAAAATTCTCGGGATGTCAGTGAAATATACGACTCATTTCTTTAAATAATTACGGTTAACCTGAGACACGTGATAAAAAGTTCAGAGATATCCCAGAACTTCAATCGCTATTATTTTGGGCCTATAGGGCACAGTTCAAACTTTAAACGGTCAATAGATGGAGAGATAAACAGACCAACATAAAACTTCAGACAAAATTGTATCAATTCAAGTTGTCTTACATCATACGTCACACAAAGACGAACTGGATAAAAATAACCGTGACATTAAACCATACGAAAGTGCATGACAGTTGGAAAAATGAAAAAATGAAGACAAATGAAAATATTTCAGACATTGAGGACGGCAAAAATGTTATACCTCTGCAACGTTTTGACTGATTTTAGGCTGTAACCTCGAAATCTTCAACTACTGATTCGCATTGTCTTGATGATACTAGACAGGCAATCAACACGGTTTAGACCATGGACATTGTGGATTTCTGCCAAGTTTTGCTTCGGTTAGTCTTAGTTTTCCTTTTACTCAATGACACCTCAATAAACATACCGCATCAATGTGGGCGGTGGCACAGCATGCACAGTATTTTTCTTAGTCAGCTCGCTGAATGTTCACAACCTAGTGAACTGACCTGATCTCCTTGCCTACTATCCTGGGCCTACATCAACATTGCTCCTATGATGACTCCACTTTGCATGAGCAAAACCTGTAGCGTTTTTATATCTTCTACTTTTAACGGCCATGCCTTGCAGCTGTATAGTGAAAGAGAGCGAACTACTGAACAATGCACTCGTCTTTGATAGACGGTTGGATGTCTTGCCTGCACCAGAGATGGAGTTAATTGGCAAATGCCAAACAAGTGTTTTACGTCCGAGCTGAAATTTTATCAGGAAGCAACACATGGGGTTATTTCAATCCCTCTAGTAAGTGAATTGGTTAACGCACTTTACCGATCCACTTACTATCGAACAACTAGGAGTTGCTGCAGACTAATCCTCAAGTATCAGCGTACATTTGACAGGTCCAAAGCACACGCAATTTATGGATTATCAGATATCTCCTAAATGCATCAAATACTGGGTTTTGTCAGCATTTTCGCTTACCAGGAATATGTCGTCGGCCAAATGCCCTCTGAGAATTAATTTAATTTGCTAGAAGTTGGAGATATCACATCCATCAGCACATCTATAACAAAGTTTAACAGGAATGACAACCGATATTCTTGTTGAATGCCATTTTAGACGAAAACTCTTCGTGAACTCACACTCGGCAGCTTGAATTCGAGTAAAGGACCCTGGCTGGTATGATGTACTTGTTCGAAGCTTCCTTCAATCAGACACTGCTACATTTCTCCATTGGCGAATTCAAATGGCACCATCAGGTAAAGAAATACAAACACCTTTGGGAGTCGATAAGTGTTCGAAAACATGCCAAAGGATGGGGATTTGATTGATGCGCTTTTCTCCAGGTCTGAAACCTGCCTGCTTTGCTCGAGTTTGTTAGTCGTAAACTCTAGTTAGATGTCGAATTATAGTGGACCCTTGGATGCTAGATATGACGTTCATCAGACCGATTCCCGTGGTTTTCACAGACGATCTAGACTACCTCTGATTCCCATAACATTCCTAGCATATTAATTACTCCAATTTTATACTTCCATCTTTAAAAACTGGTGGCAAACGGCCAGATTAGATCGCTCTTTAAACTTTCTGGTTTGAAACAGCCTTTTCAGCTTTAAGGAACTGGAAGACCAACAATCAATTTCGCATTCAGGTTTCAGGCTAGATGTTGGGCAACTAAAGTAACAGTAGGCTATTTCAACTATTCTTCAAGGTGTTTCGCCCAATATTCCAACCTGAGAGGCTTGCAACGATACATCCTTTCCCGTGATAGTCTCACTCACACATCACCTTTCTTTTTGCTAGTACGAGTAATAAGACTCAGTAACTCCCGTTTACTACATAGTGCTGATACATCTTCCATCTTTTTCTGTCAACATCCACCACTGCTCACGGTCATTACAAAGACTCAAACTCAATTAACGTTAAAGTTTTTTCAACTCTACATGGTGGGCAAAGCCAGCTGGAATGAATCTTCTCGCGTCCATCAGTTCGCATGAGTTGAGAGAACCCACTGGCTTTCGAGAACATCAGGATTCTGTTTACCAGCTATCTCAACTAACTTTTGAAGTGGACTCATTACACTGGGCTTTATCAAGAAAAGAATTGCTGCCGTGTTCAGATCGATCCCTAGTTATCTGCTCTCCAAACCCGCACTAAACGTCTTTGTCTTTAAGCCAAAAAGTAGAGGCTAAATTACAGCTATTTTTGTCAAAAGGCGCAAACACACAAGCTTTTACTAACGCGTGACTGGAGTTAAACTGGGTACTCTGTAAAGAGCAGAAACCCTTATAGATCCCCTCCGACAATCTGACCTACACCAACCGTTGTTTGACGGCGACGCCAGGTGAGGCAATGTCTCCAGTTATGTTTGCAGCAAGTACTGATCGAAAGCAAGTGATTGTAAGACCAAAATCACATGAGACTTTTGCTATTATCAGTTCGTCAAAACAGAATACCGTAAATGCCCATATGATACCTATCCGATTAGTTCAGCCTTCCTACTTGGGCGTTGAAGTTGCCTGCTCCTATGAATATTTCGAAAGATTTTGCTTTGTGTAACAGAACTGATAGCTTTTAAGCAGAACTAATCATTTTTATCATCCGAGGTGCAGCCGGCGGATGAGAACAAGATAGTGAGAAATGTCTGGGTTCTTTCCAGTTCATTCAGTAAGACAGCGCACAGACGGCTAACGCGTTGCATACATTCAATAAGTGAGGTTTTAGATCTAGAACTTAATGCAATACCTACACCAAGGAGTTCATAGGGGCTGGCCAATGTTTGAGATGGAAGACACACGTTGATACAAAGGAAAAGTTCGTCATACTTTAAACCCATCAAGACAGGATGAAATGTTAACTGAACACGGGGACGTGTGAGGACAATTAAAACAGATGGAAATCCTTACATCTACACATAAATTCACAGCAGGGATTTCTGGTTAACATCCATATTTGAGACGCAAGTTTTTCTCTGGTCAGTTCTTATATAAGGTTTTCCTATAATATATATTCAACCTAGCGGTCAACAGTTGCCTTGGAAGATACTTTGGAGACGATTATGAAAAATGGCAGATCAATTTTACATTGTTATCGGTGTGTACTATTTTGTTGAAGGTGACAAACAGAAAGTAAATCACTTACAAAACGTGAAGAATTATCATTTTTGATAGTTTTTGCATTTCCGAATGCTTCTAGTATAGGATTTGCCTTCAAAAGCTGTGCTTCAAGTTCACCCTGTAAAAGAATAACAACAAATGAGAATGAGAACTAAAGTGATAGGGATATTTGTGAATATTGACTAAGCACCAACAAAAGCGACAGTATCAAGAGAATTTTTGAATCAACAGGTTTAAAAAAAGGTAACTGTGAATGAGCAGCGAATACGTTGCTGTGGCAAAAAAATGAAGTCAGGGAACTTTTATAAAGGTGATCTGTTACGAGAGACAGTGTTATCAAAAGCACACCAAGAACTAATTTAGAAAGCTCACTGTAAACATCCAGCAAAAGCAAACTTACAATATTGACGTCTTTTGTCTGAAAATTGAGGCAATTAAAAACTAGTTAAAAAATCACACTACCACGAGCCATAAAAAGAATATCAATTTTACCTCGTATTATTAGTGAAATGTACATGAGTTATTGAAGAAAATAAGGCACATTAAGGAAAGGCGAAATAAAAGATGAACATAAGTCATGAAAATTTAGAATGGTAACTTTTATTAGCCTGCTTCAAGGAGCAGATGATTTATGACAGCTCACAATGCAGACACATACAGACAAAATCAACGCAGAACCTCGCGTACAAGTGCATCGGTTCAACTTGCCACACTTCACAGTAGTATATAAAGAATAAGTCGATAGAAATGGTGACATCAAAGACAAAGTTGTGAGAGAATAAACAATTTGAAGATAAAAGTTAGTGTGAATATTCGAGCTTTAGAAGACATAAGAGTGCATACATCTGCGTCAATGAGACTAATCTTTAGCCATATCACCAAGAATTCTCGAGCAATGACTTCTATCGTCTCGGTAATCATAGCCAGTCTACACCTCCCTATACGACTCAGACCAACAGTCAGGGACTTCACGGGACAGGTGCCACGTCTTGATTAGGCTACCCTGAACCCTCTTCCAAACGTCCAAACATACAGATCATAGTTGTTACAAATGTTCTGAAAGAAGTTGAGGCCCGAATCTGATTGAATCATCATAAGAATATATTTTAACATAATCTAAGCGTGTTTGGGAAGTCAAAACAAATATTTTGTTTTGATTTCCCAAATACGCTGGGGATACATTAAAATATATTCTGAAACTATTCTTTAACTTCCCATAGCAAGTCACGTCGAGGTGTGTGGTGACTACGCATATGCAATACGTGTCCAACTCACCCCAGCCGATGAAAGTTCACAGCCTAACCAATCGAGTTGGCTATCTTGCTTAGTACCCTTCGCTTAAACTAAACATTGCTCACTCGGTGACTCCACCAAACGTGAGCAATACTACGAAGACACTTGTGATCAAAACCCTATAGTCCTCTCATCTCTTCTATTCTTAACGGTCACTTCTCACAGCCGTACAACAGAACAGAACGAACTGCAGTGCAGTGCAGTATACTCGTTATAAGATAGTAGAATATGTCGCTGGCGCCAAATGATGCAAGTTAGCAAATGCTAGACGGGCTTTCTGTATCCAAGGTGAGATTTTGTCAGCAACCCTGGTGCAGCTCCCCAAGTAAGTGAAGCGGTCGACGCATTCCACCACTTCACTACCTATTATTAAGCTGAAAGTTGTTGCAGACCAGTTTTGGAGAATAATGTCACACTTAACAGGCGTGAAAAGCATGTCAAACATACTCAGATCTCTGCCCAATGCGTTCAGAAGACCCTGCATTTTGCCAGCGTTTTCACGAAGCAGGGAAATAACGTCTGCAGACTCCAAGTCAATCAGATGACTTCCAGGGAGTAGATCAATCTCTATGAAGTCAGACTTACCTAATCCTACGTCCATTAGTTCATCTATAACGCAGCTGAACAAGAACGGTGACATTGGGCTACCTTGGTGGGCACTACTAGTTGTCCTAGATTCACATGACAACTCTCCATAAGCTCTTAGACGGTTACATGATTTCGAGTAGAGAACATTGATAAGCACTACATACTTGCTCGGTACTTCCTTTACATTCAGACACTGCCACAACAACTGACAGTTCACTGAGTCGAATGCCGTTTTAAGTCAAAAAATATAGCAATTGTAGGCCGCTAGTAAGTATGCCTGTTCTAGGACCTGCCAGAGGGTTAAAATACGATCGATGAACCCTCATCCAGGTCTGAAAACTGCCTGGTTTTCTCTTTTGTTGATCTTCAGTTCCAGTTAAGCGTCGGATAACAAAGAACAATGGGATCTCGGACACGATGTTAGTTAAACTGACTCTCCTACAGTTGTAACAAGAAGACCTCTCCCTTCTTACTATCTGGGATGATCAGTAAAGCAGACTAGTTGGTGGCACTACTTTCGATTGCTATATACTACCCAGTAGCTTCGTCACTTTGGTTGGCGATTTCCAATCACAATCCTTGAAAACTTTAGGTGCTGCTTTTTACCGTTTCAAGTTCCATAGAGCCTTCCCAACTTCAAGACTTGGACCGAAATATACGTGCCATTCAGGTTCAGGTTGAATGTTGGGGTAACGAGCGTTACTGAGAGCCACTTGGACTGTGCTCCAGAGTTCCGCTCAACGTCCGAGCTATCCGTCCTAAGAGGTTATAAGCGCCCCATTATTTTCCGTAATGGTTTCACCAAACATCGTTTTCTTCTTTTTGGTATCCTTAATATGCCTATACAGTTGCCGGGTGTTAACCAACGCTGACGTCTTCTCCATCCCTCGCAGAAAATAGCATCGGTTTAAGTTGCCACACTTCACAGTAGTATACCAAAGACAAGTGGGTAGAAATAGTGACATCAAAGACAAAGTTGTCAGAGAATAAACAATTTGAGGATAAAAGTTAATGCGAATATCCGAGCTTTAGAAGACGCCAGAGAGTGCATACGTCTGCGCCATTGTGTCCAATTCTTAGACATATCAGCAAAAGTCATCAACCAGATTCCTTTCGTCTGGCCAGGCAGTCTACATCTACCCCATACCACTCAGGCCAACAAAAATGGAAAAGAAAGGATAGTGTGTGGCTGCAGAGCCCAAGAGACATCTGCTTGAAGCCGACTATACATGGTCTCCTTGAAAGTTAGAGATTTTGATTTTTCGCTTTCCAACTATGCATCCCTGTCGTAAGCATCGGGATGCCGCGGGGTGATGGGAGTTTTCTTTTTATCGGCCGACCCTTTCTAACCTACACCCCGTGGGGAAGGTAGCATCAGCGTGGCAACGCAGGTCATCCAAGGGAAGCACCATGCTGATGTCACCTCCACCCTGTCAACAGTATGACCGCCCGCAGACCCTCATTATAGCGCAGCGATTTACACTATAATGGAGGTACCATTAGCCCAACCACTATCTGACTGACCTTTCTGGTATGGTAGGACCTCTAGAGAACAGGCGTTTAACCAGCAGAGCCCATTAGGTTATTGTGATATACAAGCTCGACCACCGTCATAGTGTCGTTACCTACCCGTTAGCATTTTAAACAGGACTCAACTGTTTCAATATCTGAAATACCGCTAACCTGTTACGTGACTTTAAACTTCAGTTGGTTAGGCAACAAACGTCTTTATCATGATTAAATTAACTCTGCATGATCTATTTCAAAGGCACTTTGAGTTTCATATCTTTAAAACTAAGACAATGGAGATTAGTAGTAAAATCGTCAAACGTTTGCAGAGCATCATCATATACATGAACTTAACGAGAGATCTCTGACGCCTAGATCGTCATCATTAATTACGGATAGCTTTAGCAAATACTTGAAAGCTACAGCATGAGATTCACGGGACAGAATACAAGTATCATTTTATTGGCAAATTAAATTTTCGGAAATCTTTCATATGGTGATTAAGATAGTACTTCAGTCATTTAGACCTTAATTTGGTTGGAGTTGTGTATAGGCGTATTCATCAACTTCCTGTGATGCATCACTATAGACTCGAAGAATGAACCAGTCTTTCACAACTTTACGCCCTAACCGTTCCTATACTTGATCTTAGTTTGGAGAGAGTGAAGTAATCACTAGTAAATTGAAACCTAATCGGACACCAAGAGATAAAACGAGACGGTGATATCAGTAAGTTGCTCGCTAAGACCTCTTAAAAGAGATGGAAAACATGAAACACAATGCAGCCAGATAAGGCAAACAAACTATTGCGACTTAGACAATTGTATAAACATGGAAAACGCATCAGTGTCACTATTGAGACAGTAGTTATAAATACTACCAAAATAATCCCAACCCGCAAACTTAATCAAAAGCAAGTCAAGATGAAGCTTTTGAAAATGTTGCATCAGAAATCCGGGTTGTCAGAATCCGAAGTAGTACATAGAGACGTGGACAGGAAGAAAAAATGCTGTTGAAGTAGATTACGTATGTGATAGGAAAAGGGATAAAACATCTTCACGAAGACTAGCTGCTATAGTCTTTGATTATTACTTTTTTATCATATAAATCCACCGAAAAGGTAACGCACACATCCCTATATGGTTCAAACTGACTAGCAGAGAATCCAACCCGATCTGAACACCTTGGTTGAAACTTAGTAGACCCCGTTAGTTAGGCTTCATAAATAACTGTAGAACTATAAGTTGTAGTAACAGTGGAAATAGAACAGTAGGAACCAAAAGTGGTAAGTGAAGTAAATCAACATACTTGTTTTTCAGTAGATATGTTAAAGTACTTACATTTATCTTAGACAGTACATTTTTAGCTGATGTTTTTTGATGCTTTGCGGAAGTAGCCACAGAAGCTAAATACTGGATGACCTTTTTAGTGTTTTCTGTTTTGCCTGATCCAGACTCGCCGCTAAAAATGATAGTCAGCGTAAAGACTTCACTCACGTGCACAAGATTGACTGATCCTCACGATCTGTAGTGAATATAATTTAAACAGAAATGTATTACCTTGAAGCATGCTTCGGTAAGCTCCATCGGCAATCGCAAATATATGCGGTGGTCGTTCATGACGTTTCTTTCCCTTGTACCACTCTACTATTTCTTCATCATATATCGGTAGCCGTTTATATGGATTGACGACCACACAGAATAAACCGGAGTACGTCTTAATCATCAAACTTAAATTGATATTAACTTACATAAATCATTCCCGAGTAGTATCTTGCCTTTAGATTGTGCAAAACAGATGCTTCATTCATAAACGACAAGTTTGCCATGTCCGCTATCTTATCGTACTTCGCAGGGTTCATCTTTTGGATACTATCTTTTTGGAAATTACACTTTTTCCCTGATTCTACGAGCTGCACAACGCAGTTTCTCCCTGTTCTTGAATCTTTATGGCTGCGACAAAACCTTCCCGATCATCAGGTACCCACACCATGTCCTTCGACGACAAATCTGCCTCTCGCAAGGGCTCCTTTTCAGCCCGAAGGAGTTCCGCATTAGTAGGACATGATGACAGCTGTTACCGCCACTCATCCTTTTGCAACACACAATAACCTACACACTGCTTCCGTATGTACAAATACAGAATTGCCGCTGGCGCCTTAAATTAAGAGTACAATCGGGTACATCTGACTCTTCATACAAGCAACTAAACAAACTACTGCTGTTTTCGTAAGTTTTCTATTCCAGAAAATAACCATCACCGATGAACATGGTTGTCATCATAGAAAGAGTAAGACCGGTACAGATCTCCTCGAATAGTCTTCAACACTTGCGAACCACGATAACCTGCTGAACAACATTCAGATAGAAAAACAACAGGAAAAAACACAAGATCTGGAATTTCGATATCCATTAGAAAAAGAAAGCACACAAGAGACAGAAAGGATGAAATATTTCAATCTGCTACTTCGTGGTTTGTATATTTATATCAGCATATGTGTAAGAATTACTTGCAGGGATTCATAGCCCATAAAAATTTTACCACTGCATTTGAATAGCCTCAGCAAGCAGCTTTATAGAGAATCAGCGCTTCTATCGTTTATATGAAATAACCGGGGTAAATAGTTATTCAGAAGCAAGAACCTGAGGTTCATCTTTATTCAATATTGATGCTAACCACCATGTTTTCAACGAACATTTTGAGCCAACCGTACACGGCCAGTTATAATCGCTTCTTGGCACGTAATCTTCTTGCGCTGTGCTGATCGTTCATGGTCTCCTGGCCATCTGGCTCACGAAACTCTGTACATTCGTCACTTTGTCAAAAATGCCACTCATACCTGGCTACCGTATTGTATTCTTTTCTGGTCTCTCTGGTAGGGATTCAACAAGTACGAAGAATCGGTAGTTTGTCTCTGTGTCTCTTAAGATTGAGCAAGGACAATTTCTAGACCGGCAGATTTTCTTCTTATGGTACACATTGAGTTTCTTTTCTTTTTCATGGCCTTTATATACTTGTATTAATAATCTCCGCATCAATGTGACATCAGACTCCCAGATGTCTTCGTGTTCAACCAAAAACTCATCAAATTAACTTCATCTTGCCTTGACCAAGCAAAGTAAAAAAGTGGTTCCTGTATTCAGAAACTGACTTCCGACCGAATAGTGTCCCAGATCCTCGCCGTCGGTCACCCGCTGTCACACAACCACTGCAGAATAAATTCAGTGGGCACTCAAGATCAAATGTGATCACTCCTGACGTCAGTAACTCATGTACACCACCGAAAACTGCTATTTCACAGAGGAGCATTCACACAGATCGTCAACGCCTAGGTTAATTGCTCCATGACACTGAGTTCGAAAATGATGCGGTCACTGAGCATCTCACACGAAAGTGAGAAGTATGTAGCCAACCAGAGCTCAACAACAGAATTTTCCGAGAACTGTTTCTTTTTCGACCACCACGGCTGGTTCTATGGTCCCGATATGAAAAGCAGCATTCCTATGTTTGGTCTCACCAACACATTTTCCGTGACTGGTTGGGCCTTGAACTTTCGAAAACTCTAGATAGTGTTCTTTCCACAAAAATCGCGAGGTAAAACGGAATACTTGAAGTCCGTGCAGCCTGCGCAAAGGCTAGTAAACCGGCCCGCCGTCTGCCACGAACAAATGTCATCACTATCTATTCCTTATACTGAAAGCGGCTAAAAGAAAAACCAGCCGTGATTTCTGTTCAAAGGTATGTTTATCTCAGCTGAGGTTAACACAAACTTATTCAATGGATGTTTATTTGATTGCTTTCTCGACGCCCACAAGTGAAGATCGATCCAACCATAACGAACCACCTGGAAATATCAGTCGTCGTGGGCCGATGGATGCGATACGATGCTTTTCATCCACACGACCGCCTTCGTAGACCCAGTTTTATCCTTAATCAGAGCTGTAGACTTCGACGGTTCCTGCTGTCAAACAGTGTAAGACAGATATTCGTGGCTGAGATAGCCCATGTATAACCAGCAGTGTTGCACATCATATCACAACAGCGGGTCCAACTTTGGAATCCCAGCCACGCCATCCCTCTCCCTATAAAGGGAACAAAAGGAAGAATCAATTCAACCACATGCCGGAACTAGACGTTATCTTACTGAGATAACCCACGGGCGCCACCGCCGAAAAAGGATAGCAGTGGTTGCGTACGCTCGGTGACTGCCGAAAGCTTAACTTCGAAACAACACCAGACCACCAAGCGATACCATAAGTTAACTGGGACTCAGTGGGAAATGAACACACCTCCGAGACTAACTTGGTAGCAGTCTAAAGTCATGAAGGCATAAGATACCTCGAACACAGCCATTTTCGCAACCTTTGAACTATTTAAAATTCCTCAGTGCACTTTTAACTTTGGAATGCGGTGCAACTATTTCAATGCCATGCGAGTGGTGGCTTTTGTGATTAGGAACCTATTCACGTTCTCACCTATGACAAACACGCCGGAGTTTGGGAAAGGTGTCCAGCAAAACCACTCTGACCTCCTATTCAACAGGGAGAAACGATATAACATCACAGCTAACAACTGGAAATTTCTTTTGAGATTCGATGTTCAGGGCATACAATCAGCAGTTTAGGTACGCGCCTGTGGGCAGATACAGTGGCGTTATTCTCAACTACCTGGAACCAATTACTGAGAAGCAGCTCTCTATTTCCAACGAACTGGTAAACTGCCGAAGAAGACTTTTGTAATCTTGCCTCTCACCAGTCAGCTTCGTGCAAATAGAAAGTGCACGAATCTGGACAGGGTGGCTGAACTCAGCTTGTAAAACGAAACCGAGCTTACACACCATGGCCCCTAATTATCTTCATGTTTCCGTACGGACGACTCCAAAATAGAAATCGAGGCCATTCAAAAACAACTGATTGGAAATCACTGACAGCAAATACCTGTCTACCGGAGTAAAATTTATGAAGCAAGGGTGAGGCTCAGTCCAGCAATCATGGAGCTACGAGCTGTTTGCTGTTCAGCATCATATATTTGACTTTCTGCTTAAGGTTTCGGTTGCATGGATTTCAAATTCTACAAACACATCACCTACGTTGGCTAGGTGGCGCAAAATTGAGACACCTTCCGGGTCAGGATAACAGGATCACGTTTTCAAAATAACCAGTAACTCAGGTCACATACCTAGAGATAGCATCCTCTCAACGAATGCGTTCTTCACAATAGCCTCGATCAAAAGCGATGAGGACGTTGAAATCGCTTGCATGAGTGGTATTTAGAAGAAAAATGCGGTGAAAAGAAGCATAGGCATATCACGCCACCGTAGGCTAGCTCACATAAAAAACAAAAAACGGGCAGGAGAAAGATAGCACAAGAAGAAAGCGGGGAAGACAATTTACTGCGAAACATTCAGAAAAAAATCAACATAGTAGAAACTGAAAGTGACTGGGAAGCTACTTGTCAGCGAAGTGGGGGCTGACCAGGAAGATTCTGCAGCACAGCACGGTTCAGCGAGAGGCGTCTCAGGTGTCACCCCTCCCAAAGTAAATGTCCGCAACGACACACAAGCATGCGGAAGTGTTAGGCATTAAGCAACCTGACATAAACTAGAGGGCAGAACGCAGTCCGAAAAGCATTTCATAAATAATTGCTACCATAGATATTTAACGGTGGAGACAAAATTCGTGTACGCTACTAACTAGAAGAATTAGTAGCGTGTATGTATACGGCATCATGTGCAGCAAAAGATGACGAGCACACAGACCAACTATATGCAAGTGTCGAATTCCACAATCCTCACTTGAAAGTCAAAACGACTAGGAGGCAAGTGACAACCACACGCCGTCACCTAATACTTGCTACCATAGATATTTAATGGTGGGGGCAATACACCCAGCAACTTACGCGTGCAGATAGTACACTGGACATAGACTGCTGTGACATCATCCTTTTCACTACTTACGTTAGTAACGAATTCTCTTACAGCGACCACAGAATGGTTTTCTGCCGCTTATCAACTCTTCCAACCAATGAGAAAAATAAGCCATCCTCAAATTATGCCCGGCATCGAAGCTGCAAGAATATAGAATAGGAAGTACTCATCGAGCTCCCCAGGTGCTCTCCATGGGATGACAACTCTGCCATAGCCTCATTAACAGACACACTCACCTTTCCGCAGAAAATAGAGTTATGCCTAGATACTGTTGCTCCCGTGAAAGCAGCTAAGATGCATGAGGAACCAGACTCGTATATCCCTAAAATACTCCGCAATAAACTTGGGAAATTATCATCACAATACCACTTGTCAAAAGACTTCGTGTCAATGCGCTCAATTCATGAGGCTTACGAGTGTATTAAAATATCACGCGCGTGACACACAATAAATGAATAGACCATTGCTCCCAAAAGTGGCTCTGGAATACACAAGTTGGCATCTCTTTTGAACAAACGTTTGCAACCGTCAAGAGATATAGCCTATTTATTACACGATGGAATGGTACGTAGTGGTCTTCCCGAGATTAGTGAACTATTTGGGCAATCGTTCGCAAACTTCAACCCCAAAACTTTAACCCTACCAGTTTTACTCCACTTACTACATGTTCATGTACTTATGTGGAGTTCACTGTCAAAAGTATCACACAGGCCACCAAACGCTTGAGACTATCGGCAGGTACGGAGACAGACGGCTTAAACTCAATATTCATGGGACACGGTGATGATGGCGTGCCGCTGTCCTTGCTTGAGATGCTCACACTATCAATATAAAGTGGGGAGTATCCCAATGAATGGAAAGCTGGCTTCATAGTTTCTCTCTACACGTCCAGTGATAAAGCGAATGCTGGCAACTACAGGCCTGTCAGCAATGCC